TTTGCTCACCATTCAGCGGTAATGAATCTATAAATCATCACGTAGTAGCGTCACCTCGGCATTCGTGTTTCAGGAAGCAATGAACACAAATGTCACGACTCTTGCTTCATCCTCTGTCACCACCGTTGCTTTTTCGTCAGCTTATGATTGCTTCTCTTAGTGGCATTCAAAAATGATTGGGATTTTGGAATCACTAGTTCATGTAAAGGATATTTCAGGTGTCACATATCACATAAACTGGAAGAAAGTTCAGCATTTCAATGAGGTTCTCTTCGTTTATCTGATGCAAAAGACTTTCTTGGAATAAACGAGCTACCGCAATCATCATATAGGAGCTAGCTCCGATCCGGACAGTAAAGGCGAAATTCGAATTGACTTCACTTATAAACAATTATTTTACGAAGCACCATAAGCAGATCATTCGTTCATCTTCCATCAGCAATGCCACTAATTCGAGTCGTGATTTCGAGAATTTTGCGCAGAAGAAAAAAGTAAAAAGTTGAAAATGCATTTTGTTTCTGTGACTAAATTCACTTAGGAGAATGAATCATTTGGGAGTTCATTGGTGGATGGGTTCAGTGTTTTCGGATTGCTCGTTTTGAAATTGCATGAAACAAACATTGCCCGCGATGATGAGCCTTACTAGATTTGCAGTTCCGTTCATTTCAACGAATGCTCCCGTTAAAACGATACGATACATTCAAACTATAGCAAATTGAATAACTGAATTCAATTTCGTGTACTTTTGCTGACATGATAAAAGTTCTGCAATGTTTTATCATAGTTGTGAGTTGGTTGGCTTCACGAACCAATTAGATCAGTTTCCCGAGAGAAATGAAAAGAAAACCAACGGGTGCTTGACACAAAGTTCCGTACAAACAGATACGAATACGATTGCAAATCATTTTGGAATTGAACTTTTTTATTTTTCAATATTTTACCGCAAAATTTCACTGCTTGGAACGATTGCACTCGACTGCCAATAATAAACACCTCAATGGAGGCATGAACCTTTTCAAGTGACTGAAAATATTTTCATTTGTACTATGATTGAAACTGGTTGGTGGTTGTTTCTATAATTGCTGTAAACAATCCCATGCGATCGAAGCAATTAAGCGGATGAACCAACGAAGTTCAATTCAATTTAGAAAAGGGATGTACTTTGACTTTCCACTTCGTTCCATCAATTGCTTTCGTTCATCCGTCTCACTCTCATCAGATTAGTGTTCTTCTTGAATGTTCGTTTCTTGGTTCCATTCAATTGATCTATCAGTTAGATCTTCGTTCACTTCACTTAAGCATTGTTGAAGATGAATAGCTGCTGGAATTAACTGCGACTTTTCCTCCAGTGCAACTCTAATGATTCTTTGCCATAAAGCATTCGATTATCAACGAATCAGTGTTTGCTCAATAAGGTCACATCGATGATAATACTCGTGCTGTTGATGACAATAATGATGATGATAATGATGAAACCTGCATCCACAAATCTAAACACCGAAACAAAAATCCAAGGAAAAGTAGAAAACTGTCGTCATATGAAGGAATATTCGAGAAGCGAAAGAAACGACGGACGGTATGTTCAACGAATGGTATAAAGAATGAATGAGCAGGATGAGTTTATTTTCATCCTATGATTATTCGATTCATACGAATTTCAAACTTTCAATTTCAACGGATAGGAAAAATGGACTTCGAAGCAAATTGCACGCATAAAGGAGTAATTTTTTTGCTATTCATCAGCCATCCGAAACTGCTGCCATCCCAGTAATCATGTGCTTTTCGCAATATTGTTACGGCGCAGCTGAATGAACGCCTCCAAGGAATTGACGGCGCATTGCTACGTCAGAGCTCTTCCACAGCCCTCATCACGTATTATAGGACACTTCTCGACATTCATCCGAACATTATCCATTTGTGTGTCTATTCCAATCGGGCTGCTTCGACTGATCAAAGTAAAATTTCTGTTTTGTTGAGAAGTAAGCTACTGAAGATTCATCCGAGAATCATGCATAGCTCTATTTGAATGCAATATTGAACGCGCTGATGCCATTGTTCCTATTCATATGTCATTTGATGATGCAAATGAGAACAAAAATGATTTTGACGAAAGATTACTCGAGCAACTTTTGATGAAACTTCGCAATTCGTTCGTCATTTCATGCCAACATTTTGAAACGATTCTGTGTGTCTATGCGCCATTGAATGGACTACCGATTATCAATGGATTGAAATAATGGTCGTCGTAAAGCATGAGAAAGTTCACGCTGAACGATTCACTCTGCAGTCTCTTGAAAATGGACATATCACTGGACGAGGAAGAAGAGTGCTAATGCAGATGGATGGATGGAAAAAGGAAGATTTGTTATCGTCGAAAACAGCTTCAAGAGCATCTGTCGGTGTCAGCTTATCATCAGTCTCCTCACTTCATTCAGTCCTTCATTTAAAGTCACCTATTTCCTTAGATACCCTCATTGGCTTCGGCGCAATGCGAATCGGGTGGGTCCTTGTGTTGAAAGTGAGTGAATGGCGCAGAATGTGAATGTAAGTCATACCACAAATTCACAATCAGCAAGTCGTTTTCATCCAACCCTTAATTATTCTACATCTCACGATTTTTTCGAACAGTTTTTCATCATCATCACCATCATTGTATTATTACTGTCATAAGTGAACTGATAAATTCACAGTGCGCTTCGGAAGAAGTGAAATAAAACAGATTCAGTATGAACTGCTAAAAGAACGTCTCTCCTGCCTTCAATATATTCTATTTACATCGAACCATTTTCGCATAATCCTTCAACGATTGCTGCAAAATCTTTGTCATATTCCCACTATTCCTGCTCCTGCTCTAAGAAGATGTTCATTATTCATTAAGTAGATGACTGCTCACTTTGGCTTTTCTTCAACGAGTGTGAAATTTCAATTTTCTCGAAAGGTTAAATTGATGATCTCATTGAGCAATCAACTGTTCAATAATGATGCCATTCGTTATTGAGTTATTTACTGAACATCATCACTCACATCAACATCATAGTCGTCAACAGAGTCCTTCAGAAGAGGTATGTACGGCAATTGATCCATTGGAAGCTTGATCCATAGCACGCAGTGAACATACTCGCTTCTTTCTCATTCGCTGAGGTTTTGACTCCGCCGGTAATTCGAATGCGTTTTCACAGTTGCCCACTGAGAAACAGCAGACATGGATTCGTGAGGCGATGCTGCTCGGTTGACTAAATGAATCATACAGAACTGTGCAAAATTGAAAGAATAAGTATTCATGCAAGCATTTCACTAACAAGTGGAATATTTCAATGCTACTCATTCACGATATGATGTTCAATCGCACTCATGATATGTTTGTTGTTCTCGCAGACTGCGTCAGTTTCTTCCGTACCCGAATTCAATACTTCCAATAGATTTTTATCACGCGCTTTCGTTCGAGCCTTGCAGTTAAGTGTCATCTGCATNAAAAAGTATGCAAACTGAGGCATTTTTTCCTCAGGGACGGTGCTATTTTACGTGATGAAACGCAATGAATTGCAAAACTTTTTTCCTTAAACAACTCAATATCATTCCATCTTCGTTACCATAACTTATCGTTGAATTAATATAAGTAAACGAATTATTCATTTAATATCATACGTTCTCATTCATTCAATCGTATCGTTTCCGGCTCATCATCACACAGACTCTCCATTCATTCCGTTGGGTATTACCGGGAGCTTTACAGATAATTGCACTGCGTTTTTTCAACGATGATCGCTTGCAGAATTCTTTAATTCCTTCAATAAAATGAACCCAATGAGGAAATTGAAAGTCATCATCGCAAATTTCAATTTGTTTGCTCAATTTTACGACTAGTTTCCACTCATTTCATTCATCCTCAATTGCTGCATTAATTTCGAAATGACAGCCCGAGCGATAGTGTAATGGCTCCCTATATTGCTCTATGAGCGGAACGAGACTAACAGTAGACACACTGTGCAATTATTTCAAGGACACTTCCATATTTTTTGGCTATTAAATGAGCGAATCTTTATTTCAAAGGGTACATTGAACTGAGTGAAGAATGACGATTTAAAATAATAGATATTACAGCTTGTTATTGATTACACCATGCTTAATTCAATCTTCTTGTACCATTGTCAACATTTCATGTTACCAGGTATTTCCCAATTTACTACCATCCATTAAGAACTGAATCTATAACTCACGCAGATGTCTATAATCCACCACTAAACATGTTCACGTTGGGTGCAATAGATTTTCATGCAGTGAACACTTCGAATTGATTTTTAAGAGTTTATGATGAGTGCATAACTTTCACAAAGACTGATTCATCATCTAATTGAATCAAAACATTCTGTTGATGCTTTTTGTCTTCATACAATGAAATTTGTTTTCATTCGAAAGATCGAGCGATCGGTCGTCATCACGTTCAATAACATACGCAGCCATGCATCAGTTTTGACAGTGAATGTTTTGTGATGGAACGCAAGTGCTTTAATGAAATGATTCCGAAAATAACGAATATAATCGATGCTGTTGCGTGAAGCATAGGACAACACTAAAAAGAACCTTTATGAGCAATTAGTATTCGACGAGATCATCGTGGGCGATTGTTTGAATTCAATCAAATTTCAACTACCATTAACTCTCTCTCTCCCTCTCTGTTTGGAGTTAGATTTTTCATTTGCGAATGCACCAAAAACATTCTTCATTTTAAAAAAAATTTCACGTTCATGTATTGAATGATTGGTATGAGTCATTGATAACTTTCAGATTTTCCATTTGTTCACATGACCCGTCTTTTGTAGTCGGCGATTTTCTGTCCGCAAATTCGGAAAATGTAATCGTAAATTTGTTTTGTTGTGCTCACTCAGATATTGTTCATTAAATGCTACTCTGAATGCTGACCTCCTTCCATTTTCTATGCTAAGTGCGAACGAATCTCAATCGAAAATCGATGAAAACGTCCAAAAAAAGTTTCTTCTAGGCCGTCGAAATTCAACCGTTGGAGGACTTTCCGGAGACGATATTGGATTTCGACGAAGAAGACGACGACGATTATCAAGAGAACGGAGAGCCACGAGTAAACGGCATCATGACCGAAACATTTGAACCGGATGGAACGTGCCGAATAAAGTTGCTACGATCCGAGCTACCTCCTGATCTGCAACCGATCACAACCACTGAACTAAAGTGTGCCGTGAACGTAAAGGAACGGGTCGAAATCAATGGTACTTTATTCGTTTACTTTCAAAAAATCTATTGAGCCTTTCATCGCTCATTGAGTCTTTCATCCGACCAGTATGCTTCCAATATACCTTGAATCCGATGCGGTTGAGTTGGCTAGCGGAATCCGAAATCTGCATCACGAAACATGATTGATCTCATTTTAGAGTGCCCAGTTCAAATATCTCCCTTGTTTAGCGNAGAATAATGTTGTAGGTGAGAAACGACTTGTCCAAAAGAGGAAGACATCTCATCCAGAATGGGATAAATGTTGGGATACAGACGTTTTGCCAGGTCGGGTTCTGCAAGTGATACTTATGAATGGCAACACACCGATTGCAGATGCTACTATGCGTCAGCAGGTACGCAGATGCGACTGATCACATCTTCGCAGTCAGAATGTTGACTGCTTGCATTCTCAAATTCCATCGCGACATTTCACAAAATCAACTCTTAACCCATCGCATTCAAAATCACCTCTACTACCGTATTTGCTCGGAAATCATGCATAGTTCTGTTTAATCCAATCAAGAAATTGAATGAATCAATTGTAGGAAGTTACCGTGCAAGATTTTGCACTGACAATGAGACAACCTTTTAGGATATTGTTTCGAAATGCAAATCGGATACAATCACACATATATGGATCAATTTAAAACCAGCCGGGCGCATTCTGGCTCAAGCACGCCACATTCAGCAGACCAGTAAGTACTGAATTGTTTGATATGATTGTTAGATGTGATTATTTGACGCAGGGAATGTTTTGACTCAACGACTCGATCAACAATCCATCATATCGTTTGTAATCTATTAGTGTCAAGATTGCAATATTTCATTGAAGCAATATTTGCATGTATTGCCTTCATTTCAATATCAGCAAGCAGAAATTTGCCATGCATTCATGAAAAATGAAAACGGATGAGCGCAGAAACAGAGTTATATGGGATAATTAAAAGCGCAAAATTAGCCAATTTTGCTAGGCCTTTACCGTTGTGCGACAGATTATTGAGGATTGCTGATGGAAAAAAAANAAAAAAAAGTTGGCCGCCGACGTTGAAAATGCGGATTAATGAAACTCATTTCACTGTGGGATGATTTCTTTTCCATATGTATTTCTTTTCTGTTCGCTAGTGCATAATCACTTAGTAGATTCAGCGGATGTGTGTGTGGAAATATTGAAGTCTCTTACTTCTACCATATTTGAGAGTTTTTGTTCTGAATTTTATTGAACTGAACATGTATAATGAAGCTCATTCAATGGCCTTAAGATGTGATCCTTGACACAATTACTAAAGCTAGCATAACCATTAGTAACCTAGTCATTATCATTTTATCACTGCTTTCGATATTCGCATAAATTTTATATAATAGTTGCATCAGGTGATCAGTTCACAAGACCCTAGTGCAAATCATTTCTTCGATCGAACTTCATTTGAATGAGCTTCGGTGAATGATGCTTGATTTTTGTTCATCAATTCATTGCATTCCCTATTTGATTCAATTTTTGCTATTAGCTGATTCTTCAACATAAACCACCGTTGTTATACGAAACCTCTCAATGTCTCATGCATCGGTAATGCAGAATATCCGCTGCAAAAGAAAGGCAAAAATTGAAAATTTTATGATGCAGTTGCACTATCTTAATTAATCATCTCACCTCGCAGCCAATGCACAAAAAATAAGAATTCTCTGAAAATTTCGGCTCATTCAACTTATCAACTGCCACACAGAATTTGTTTTTTATTGAAAGTCATCAAATCAGCGCCTTTTATCCCAAATGATCTCGTTGATTCAGTGTGAATTGTTTTAACGGTTCACTTGCAGTTATCGTACGCATAATGAGCAATCTAAGTTACGAGAAAATTTATGTTCAGTATACTTTAAGAATCGACTCAGTTTTTTTTTNTGGAACGCTGTGATGTGTTCATTTCTGAGGTGTTTTCAGCAATGATTTGCATTGCGAACTATCTGCCGTTGTTCAACGCTTTGTGAATCTCACTGTTTGAGCCTTTAGACTCGTTATCCATGATCAACTAATGCAAAAATGTCATTACTCAAAATGAAATTGTCATTTCCGATAGGATTTAATTAAGACCAATTGAAGAATGCTCATTTTTGATTTTGTAAATGTCACTCAGAATTATTCACTCAAATCACGCGAATTCAGCAGCAGCAGTCGCTTTCGGTCGGAATGGCGCTTACGTGTTGTCCACTCGTTTATTCGTCATTTATTGATGTCGTTTGTTTTCCTTCATTATTGAGGAAGTACAAGAGAAAGCCATATGATGGTTCATCACGATAAGTCATAATAGAATACCCTTTATGTTGCACTTCTTGAACGTCATTCATTGCACTTGAACAATATGAATTCAGTGATTATAATCACTTGGACTTTGGCTAATGCTCTCATCCAGTTCTTCAAACCTGTATTTGCTTAGGAGGCGTTCTACTTTAATGAATTAATTCAGTCAGTTTTCAATAGATTATCAAATCAAGTAAGAACCACTGAATAATTCTTGTTCCCGTGTTGTTGTGTAGGATCGTTCTCAACGAATCGAGATCAGTTTCTGTGAACACTTGCTTTAAGGCATCAAAACGTGTTTGCTGTTGTGCTTCACGTAAATGGATGAATAGAAAATGAAGATTAGAACGTTGCCTTCAATGCAACACCATCATTCTGGGCAATCTTCTAAGTAGTTTCCGCAGTTAAGTGATCCTATTTAATGAAAGCGAAATACATTTTTTTTCTGAGTGACAGCATTTTAAACTTCTGTCGGTGTTTAAACTTTTTTCGTCAATTGCCTCAGGTAGTAGCAGCATTCATTTGAAATCCTGATCGATTATACTATGATTCTGTAATATTGATATCAATCGTTGATGGTGTTCAAAAAACCATTCCATCAATTCATATACTCAACGATCTGCTATTTTCTTACTCAGAATTTCCGCTCGTGCTCGTTCGTTGGCGGCACTTAATCATTCAATCTTTTTTTCGTTCGTCTATCGGCACTCGAGCAGCTGATTTGTTGCGTTTGTTCGTTTCGCTCTAATCCTTTGTTGGTTAGGGATTATCTGCGTAAGCTTTACTTACTCCTTTGAGAACGCAACTTTGCATTGTTATTGCTCAAAATTAAGCATTCATCTAATCGTAAGACAACATTTCTGCACACGAATCTCATGGTTCAATCGTACGTCATAAGAGTATCCTTTCATGTTTTCACGCAATGATATTTGATCTCTATTTGCTCATCGTTGACTTGCACAAATGAGTTGTACTCTGATCACCGTCATAGGCTGCGTTATCTTTGATGGCTCAAAACGAACCTTCTGGAGAAGGCAGATAGTAGATTTCCCAGCTGATAACCTCGTTGAAATGAGCGTTCTGTGCTCCACGAACAATTGGCATCAACTAGAAATTATCCTTAGGCATTCAGTTTTCTGCGTTCGTTTCGTACGTATCGGGTGATGGCCTGCAAGGTCAAATGATTCCAGAAATTCTTGAGTTTTACGGTTCTTCACACCAAACTATCGAATCTCTTATGTGAATATCTAAACGAATATCATTATCAACCGCAAACTTTAAAGACGACATCCTTTTTGGGGATAATTGGGAACAGAACCCGTTTCAGGTATGAATGATACATGTAGTAAGGATGAATTTTCAATCTTCAGTAGTCCTGAATCTCATTCTAGGGTAGCTATTATTTCAAATCTTGAACCGATCTTATATTCTTTCGCAAACTTCTGTGTGTGTTTTCGCATTCTGCGTTCGAATCGTTTCGACTACTGAGTGCTAACGCATCTTCATGATGAGAATTCTACACGAGAAAATTTCACTTGTGTGTTTGTTTGTTACCGGGTTATTTATGAGCTATTCTTTATTCTCTTTGCAGTCAGTCGCTGTCAGCAGCCAATAGCTTTGAATCGCCAACTTTGTCGCTTTCTCAAAATTAAAAAGAATCATCAGTTGTCGAGTAGTTGAAGTTGAAGTTGAGCAAATGAACTCAGTGTCCTTGTTGATTAAGTGGACAATGGTGATGGTGAATCTCTTTTGAACAGTTGAATGCGCATTCTTCTGTTCTCGTCGGTTCTTTTTTTTTATCGACGTTGTCGGAAGAATTTTTTGTGGCGTTAAGAAGTGCCATCGACATACTTTCTTCTCCATAGCCAACTTGCTGTGTTTATGATCGATGTGTGCAACGAACTGAACATCCATTATACGAACGAACACACACACAATCAACAATCTTCTTCTTTTACCATGAAACAAAAATTTTTGATTGCGTCCAAACATCAAATTAAATTATCATTCAAACTAGATGTTCAATATTCTCAACTTCAAGCTCTAAAGAGCTTCAAATTCAATCATCCTCCTCGACAGCACAACCTATGCATAGCCATCGTTTAACTTTCCATTAGTGAATCTTCACTCTTGAACTCGTTCACTTCAATTGGCCAGTTCAGTTCGGTTCAATCTCAGTCAGTCATGAAACATCCACAAACCATCACGTATTCATATTACAAGACTTCTGCTGCAGTTGTTTTCCGTTTGTCATCCTTAATGAATCAGCTTCATCGAATGACTTTCAAATAGTCTTATTCACTTGTTTCATCAACTTTTCCGGAACCTTCACTGAACACGTAAGGTTCTNAGAGTTGAGCTCTGAGAATTCACCTTCCGTTGCCAAACAAGTAATGCGTTTGCACTAATAGTCTGTGGTATTTTCATTGTAATCTGCTTAAGCTTTTGGACTTCGAATAGTGAAATGCTTAAGTGTGTTTTGCTTTGAAGATTTTGGACGGCGCAGTGTCTGCGAATATCATTCCGCGTGCAGTCAGTTTTCATTCGTTGCGACCAGTTTTCTGAGAGTGGTGAATGTTTATCGTCGGTAATTTGGTCGTAATTTGACTTGTTAGAGTTAATGAATGCAAATCGACAGTTGATTAAGTGTCGTCCATTCATGTATACTTTTGCTTTCGCAATTGTTCATTTGCAATTAATAGGCAGAAACTATTCATCGTCTAAGCGAAACAGCTTTTTTTCGTCCTGTTGCATTCTGGTTTGAAGAAGGTGCTTCTATTTGCAGTCAGCACCACGCATGTCATGCCTTTCACCAAACATCATTCAAATGGTTTCAATAAATTGGCTCTTTA